GGAGGAGAGAGGCCTCCAACTCCCGATACCTCAGGCGGCTATGGCTGCCGGCACAATCAGTCGCCGCTGCTGCTGCTCGCTCGCTGCTGCTGCGCTAATGCTGCGCTGCTGCTCCTCGCTGCTCCTGCGCTAAACTTAGCGCCAGCGCTGTATCGCGCTGTACCATACCGTACCGGTAGAATGCCGGTAGGTCGATAGCCTCACTGAGGCTGGACCGGTACTTTTGTACCGGTGGGCAGAGGTCGGCCTCTATGTTGCGAGGCCTGACCGTGCCCTGAACCGTCCAGATGGACGGTTCAGCCCCAACCGCCGGGCGGCAGCCTCAAGAGCGCCGCCAGGCCCAAACGGTAATATCGTTTGGGCCGGCCCATCGGGTCTGGTCCAAGGTAAGGCCTTTACGGCCTGTAGTACCCCCCAAGGTTGGGCCTTTGGCCCTACTGTGGACCCGTGTGGCGTCGAAGATGTAACACCATGGAAGATGTTCCCTCTGATGACGCTCCGTGTGGCCGGACCAGAAAAGCGCTTTATGGATGGCCACTCCCTTCCCGCAGATCAGTCAGTTGAACTTAAGGTACCCTCGAGTACCGAGTAGAGCGTCTGGAGGTGCATGACCTGATACGGGATAAGTCTATTCTCTCTCCTCTCTTTTCACTTTCTCTCTCGCTTTCCTCTCCCCCCCTTCTTTTCTTGGGTAAGGGGTTGACGGTGGTTGAGGTGACTTCTTTGCTGGAAAGATCAAACTATGGAAGCCAGTGCCAAATTCCTCTTTTTATCAATGATCGCTTTGGAGGGTGAAATCGTGTGATATAATTGATCCTTCCGCAAGAGTTTCGTTTACTATGGGATCATCGCTCAAATTTTTGCATGCTCCTGTTACATGTATAAGTCCGTTCTCTGCCATCGGTTGTTGAAAACATCGCTATAACTTGTCTATGTATGTTTCTGCGCGCGTACTCGGGGAATATCTAGCAACCAGGGTACGTAAGTGATAGGCGATTGCCATCGCTCGTATTTACGCACCCGAACTGCAGGTGATCCCGTTAGGAAAGGGCTTACAACCACCTTGTTTACAGGATCAACAAGCGCTGAGGGTTGGTCGGAGCAAAAAGAGGCCTTGATCGTTCAGATTTACGTTCCTCGAGCACCCGGATGCGCTAAAAGGTCCAGCATGTTCCGTTTATTGGTTGATCAAGGTCGTCCTCACATTCCCTCTGCTTAATGACTCGCCTCGTCTGTTTTAGCTCGCTGTCGTCTCCTAGTTTGTTTATCGTTATTTTTTTGTTCTTCCTTATTCTTTTTTAGTCATATGCTGTGAGGCTATTCTGTTTTTTGTGTGTAAAGTCTCCTTCCTAAATTGGCTCGTTAAAACCGTCGAAGCGCAAAAAAGTGTCCGAATTATCATCGAAGGATCGCACCACGAAAATCTGAAACGGGTCAGACTCCTACAAAAGGGGGATGGTCATTAGAATGCCACTGATTGCGTCATCTTCTTTCTCGTCTTCACTCCATGCTCTACGTACATCATCTTTCACTTCTCCTAGATTTGTATATCACAGCTTTCTCCCTCTATCTCCTTCTTTCTTTCTTCTTTTTCTACTCTGTTTTTACTAAAAAACGGAAGAGGTCACTGAGCGTCGGAAGTACGTAGATACGAACGACCATCACCGTTCGGGTGTATGTACTTAAGATCTCAGTTGAAAAGGGTCTTCCTCCACTATTAACTTTCAGTTGCACTTTGGAAACATCAATGCAATGGTTGCATATTTCATACATATAGATATATATTATATATTTATTTGTTGCGCCAACTTAGTAGAGCGCAGGGCAATAGTAGCACGTGATTAGCGAGCGAGCATCGACGCTCAAATTTAAGCATCTCGCAGCATGGGTAATACCACAAAAATAATCTTATGATAACTTTGTACAAAGATCAGTTGGTGCTCGAGTTGGCCGGAACGTGATGAAGCATCAGGCGACTGATGGACGAAAAAATGAGCGACCATTGTCACTCATATCCGAGCTCCTCGATTGCTTGATGCGCGCCAAGTCGAATTTTTTATTCTTTATTTATTATTCTATTTAAAAAATATATTTATTTATTTATTTATTATTATTATTATATTATTTTTAATTATTTTTTGTTTTCTATTTTTTCGTAAAAAGGCGATATAGATCATTCTCAACCTAACGACTTGCTTCATATAGTTCGACTCGAAGTGAATCTCATTTCATCAGTTTGCTTTTTCGTTTTGTCGCCATCTATTCAGATTGCTTTCTTTCCCCAAAAAAACTCCCCCTTTTTTAACCTTCTTTAACTTTTTTCACCTCTTTTTTAACTTTTTTAACCTTTTCTAAATCCACTTAACTTTCTTAATTGTTTCATTCAAAGCAACAAGTGGACCTGCCGCAGCGAAGGATGATGACAAAAACATTTTGCGAAACACCCCAGCCATTAGTTGGACCCCATCTTTGCTATGTCCCCCTACCGAACGCTGCCCAACTTTGCAAAATGGGCCGGCAGTTGCCAACTTTTCATAGGTGCAATTGCAAAAGGCCAAGAGAATTTGCACACCCACCTGATAGGGGCATAACGCACAGATGTCAGTCCAAAAGGCCATTCCACTGTGCCCATATCTTTTAGGGACATTTTGACATATATCTCAACTTATGCTTATGGGGGTATTTGGAATATAACCCCCCCCGCCAAAAAAAAAGGAGACACTCTCTCTCTCCCCCCCCAAAAAAAAGGGAGA